AGTACAGTTCCTCCAAAGTTAGATAAAATGTAGAGATTGGTGAAAAAATAATGTTGTGTCAATTTTATTGAATCCTGTCCACTACTTTTTCTTATATATGCGCCTAAACGAATGTACCAATTTCAATGAAACTTCGCTAAAGTCATTTTCTTGACGCCCTTTAAATCTATCTATGTTACAATGTACCTACGGACAAAAATACAGTATTTGTACGTAGTAAAGCGTACAATTCATAATAAAAACACATTTATTCTATCTAGTTGGTATAAAACACAATTGAAGTCGGTTAAATGAAAATTGTCAAAACCGTACCCAGTCTCCCCTAAGTGAAAGATGAGGGATGCGTACCGTTTGATTATATTTTACATTGATATAAAATTATAAATGATTAACAGGAATAGGGAATAATTTTATTTATTCTTAATCCCATACTTCCACAAACCAAATTCAAAGCGTTTGAAAAAATCATGAATGAAAGAGATGTGACCTAGAAAATTAAAATAGACATTGAACCTCAAACAATAGGTTTTGTTTTTCACAAGATGTAGTCATTATTATTTATGTGTTTCAGTTACTTGTAATTAAGACCTGGATTTATTAACTAATTAACTATCTCCCCGGCGCTACAGGCCGGCATGACCCTTGGTCTCCTGAGTTATTTTTTTCCACTTCTCTCTTCAGACTTGAGAAGTTTTAGGTTTGCATAGTTAACTCTATTACCAGCCATTATTATTTATTATCTATTTCTCTGCTGATTACATTTTTATTATTAAGGACAGAACCGAGATACACGAATGTGGGTACATTTTCGAACTTAAAATTATTTATTCTGTTTTCACTGTAGGATCTTCTACTTGCTGCCGAGAACAGTTTCAGGTATTTAGTTTTGTTTGAAGACACTTAAAGAGGCACATGATAGTATATAAAAATGGCAACAAAGTAGGACTGGTGGTCAATGAAAACCAGTATTTATTAACAAATGTATATTTTTTTGGCATCATTTTTTTTATTTTTTGGCACACATATCTTTATGAAACAAGTCATTCTAAATTTCCTGGCGAATTTTCGTATTGCACATCTGGCCAAAATTTTATTTTTGGGCGTATTTAGGATCATTAAAATATTTTGATTAATTTAGTGTATTTTAGATTAGAAAATTGTTTAAATAATAAAATTACAGTTTAATTTACATTTAAATTAATTTTTAAAATATGTTAATTATATTTATCGTTTTAAAAAAATTATACTTTATGACGTATAATCACGTTAGTAATTTCAGATATAATTAATGGAAGCTTGGAAGTACTGAGAACCGTTTTATTTAGGATGGGAATTTAATATGGAAGTGCTTAAGTAAGAGCAGGGAAAATTAAAATAAATTTCTATAGTTTAACTCATCAATAAATACTTATGCCAATATTTCGGACACATTCAGCTGTTCTTGGAATTCCATTTATAGTGTGATCATAATACTCTTGCGACACCCATAAAATATTTAAAAAAATATATATATTTATTGAAATTTACAACTGTATAATTACATGACAAATACAACAAATAAATCTGAAAGCAGCGACATTATATGTACAACATGAAGAGAAACTACCCATTGAAAGCACTCCAATTATAGTTCTATCTAAGAAGATCCCGAGGCTTTCTCGTTTCAGACGCCTCGGATTGTTATCAGGAATAGAGAAGGAAGCAAAGTTGGAAACAAGAGGGCTCGGATAGTTCAGAAGTTTATTATGAAAGGACAGATATCTGTATATAACTAAATTGGAAACATTTGAAACATTAAGGTCGTTATGGATGATTTATTTGTGACAAAACAAGGTGCATTGAGGATTTTGGATTGTAAGGATTAGATACGAGAGGAATTTGATGGTTTAGTAGAGCCCAAAGCTCGATACCGTAAGACCAAATTGGTCTTATTACAGTAATATATTTTAGTCTTTTGTAAGTAATTGGAAGTTTAGAGCGTTTGTCTAGTAAGTGTAGCAAGTGTAGCTAAGCTGTAGCAGTAGAAAACGTCGTGCAGTTCCTAGTCAATTCAGTCTGGTATGAGAATTCCAAGTGAGTCGTTTGTCCATGTGGAGTCCTAGGTATCGAATTTGTTCAACAGGGATAAGTGGGGTATTGTTAAAGGATACTGTAGGACAGGATGTCATAGTTTTGCGACGAAGGGTAAAAGTAATTTGATGGGATTTATTGGAGTTTATTTTAATCCTCCAGTTTTGACACCATTCTTCAAGGTTTGTGAAGTTTGGGACGAAATTGATGGATTGTTGTTAAATGATAGGGTGCACGTGTCATCGGCATACGTGGTAATGATAGTGTTGGGATGGGTTGGAATGTCATTTTTTCATTACTACTGAACATATTAAGTCAACATATTTCAACAATTATCACATTTCATATACTAATTATTTTCCCGATGTATCTGTATTACCTAATATTCCATTTAATTTTTACAAAATTAAATTTTGTATTACTATGTTAATCCGAACCAATGCAAACGATCGGTAGTGTGTTTAATGTTTCCCTTCGTCTTTCTCCAAATTGAAAACCCACAAACATCTGTTTGGATAAGCAGACGAGTTAAGCATTGCTGAATGATCTAAACGTGCTCTCAGAGAAACGATCCTTGCCCTTGAAGAAAAGAAATAAAACATGTATTGAAAAACGATTGAAAAGACCTGGCCAGGGCCCAAATAGATCTGATCGCAGGCGAAGGTTTGAATGTAAATTACGAAATCATATGTTATTCAAAGTAAAATGAACCTTGTCTACCATTCCAGAACCGCTCCTTTCAGAAATGGCGACTGATTAAAAGAATATTAGTTCAATAATTTGAAGATCATGATAAGATTGAAGATATGTGGAGTATAAGACAGGAAATTGTAGGTTTACGGCGAAGAGTAAAGGTAATTTAATGGGACTTATTGGAATTTATTTTAATCCTCTAGTTTTGACACTATTCTTCAAGACTTAGAACTAAAAATTAAATTAAGTTAAGGTAGAAGTTTAAGTTTTAAATTTAAAAAAAGGTAAAACAACTCTCATCTGCAATAAATTGCACATAATGTTTTCTTAAAATTAAAATTATCATTTAATCAGATAAAACTCCTTGCTCATTAGGAAAGTTGCTATTATATCAGTGGCACCTGGTATATAAAAAATCATATTATGGATAGGTTGGATTTTTCACAGATTTAAGTTCAGTTTTCGAGTATCAACCGATGATTAACAAGGGGAATATTCATCTTTGCAATAGCCCTCTTACTTAGCCAATTTAACTTAAACTTATCCCCTGTAACATATAATAGCCTCTGAAAAGCAAGGAAGAAAATTTTACTTAAATTATCAAGTTCCTGCATAACAGGGGCACCCATCTTCCTAAAGATCGATGGCCCCTCTCCAAAAATTAAAAACAGAGCTAGTGAAAGTAGGATTAGACAAATCGTAGATGATATAAAATTACACTTCCTCTAGTTTGTCCAATGTTTTCTTCCTAGTTCTCGATTTTGAAACTATTCACTCCGAAAATTCATAGCCCCATTGAAATGTGCTCCCCCTCCCAGATAAACTTTTTGATGATACAACTTGCGCCATAAAGTCCCCTTCTGGGCACCCCTACTGCACAATGAAGTCATATAAAACTTATTTGTCAAGCTTATAACTAATGATCCTTTCCAGATTTTTAAAAACATTATTTATTTTTTATATTAAAGTTAAATTATTTATTAATTTGATTTCATTTATTATTATTTGTAAGTTTAGTTATTTATATAAAATGTCCTACGATTTTATTTTTATTTATTTATTATTTTATTTATTATTATACCTTTAATTAAAAACATAAAAAATGGCACCGAACCTAAAAAACGCTGCAAAGTATTTCACAACAGTTTATTACTCTCTAGCAATTATGCATGGAAAGTAACATTACCTTTCTAGTGACAAAATAAAAGAAATAAAAAGTTAATTCCAATTATTTGCCTAAACATTTTTTTTTCATCATTAGTAATTTGCTAAAAAGTTAGTAATTTTAGGACGCTTAAAAGTAACTACATACTTCTTTGACTTCTCGACGTATAAATTACCAACTCGCCTTGCCAACTACCCGCCACTAATCAATACGTACACACTTCCAAAGCTGTACAAATCAAACGTAAACCCTTTACCTCCTTGGACAAATACTAGAACACTTTTCGATTAAAAAACCAAAAAAAGTTAAATAACCCACCAGTAGCACTAAAACAACTCTTCTTAGCTCATATAAATAACTACGAAAAGTATACATGCATTTATACCGAGATCAGAACATGTTGGATGTTCCGTTGTTCTACCTACGGAGACCATCCATTTATTCAGTCCTATCCTCCGAGCTCTTTGCCATATATTTAGCGTTAGATATAATAATCAACGAAATTAACTATGACCACATTTTAATTATTAGTGATTCCTATTCAGCCCTCAAACTAATAGAAAACTTTCGATCATGCAACAACCCCATTGTCTTCCAAATTATTCAATGTACAAAAAAAAAAAATAAATAAATAGAATTACTTCAGTAATAAATTAAAAAATCAAAATCCAAAACAAAGGATTTGTAGTAGAACATAAAAAACATCTAGAGACCATATTTTTGTTCCTAATTGTCCGATTTTAACAATTTTTTTTAGGAAATTCTGTAAACTTTAAAAAACATTACAATATCAACAAAATGTGTATATACTTTTAAAGTTATTCGGAATAAAATTTTACCATCCCTCCTGCCTTTTTTTCCAGCTTCTTATTTGGCTGCGTATTGTACGGCGTTTTATCATAATTCTTAAGAGATATTTTAAGACACATTGGAATGGGTTTTATTGCATATTAATTATTAAGGCCCTACATATAATATTTCTAATACCGTTGTAAATTTATAATAAATGTTTTTTACAGTTCTTTCGTCATAGTAATGACGACTTTTCGAATGGGTTTTCCATATCCTAGCAATGCTGTCAGACGTACGACACATGGTACTCCACAAGATCCTGAGGATAACCTTGACCCCACCTGAGAAGGCAACATATAGACGAAAGAGTGGGGACAGTTGTGCAGTTTTGCAGTGCTGTGCCGGCGATCACTGTGGAAGGATGCGCTGTGGTCAGTTAAGGCAGTATGTCGTCAGTCTTGTCAGTAAGTCTCACACAAACATGAGTAGATAATATATATATATATATCTGTATTTTAGCAACATTTCCGGACTTTATTGTTGTTGTTATTGTTTATTGTAGAGGAAATGGCAGGTTTATTTACACTTTTGAACAGTAAAATAATAACTAAATATTTAAACACATAACGTTGGTCATTGTAAGAATTCACTGAGTGATTTGTTTGATAAAGCTAAACCTTTAGATTAGTTTTTTTGTGGATTTCCTCTTTATTAATCGATATATAAGCTCAAAGATTAAATCAAACTGACACTAATTATTTTATATAACAAAGCGTTCTGATTTCACATTAGAAAATTCAACAAGCTACTTAGTGATATAATTTTATAATATTTTAGTTAACGAATTTTAGCAATAAATCCAGGATGTTAACTGTCAAAGTATTAAAGCTGAATCAAGTGGAGGGACTAGAGACTTAATTGTGTTTATAATTATTGAAAATTAACAATTATTTCATTAAACAATATATAAACAGTTAACTACACTCAACAAGTCGTTGGATAATATAGGTACTGAGTGAGAATGGTGAAGGTTAAGATAGTAAAAGAAGTTATTCCAGATCGTATAGTTTTTCCAGCTGGTAGAATATATCAGCTTTTTTAATACCAGTACTTGTCAAAGTTTATAATTTACTTCACTGGCGTTAGCACCAGTGACGTGGTTGAGTGAATAGCGCAGTGATCTCTTGAAGTCCCGCTTTTCCTTCTATAGTTGGAGGGAGAAGCCTGGCTTGGGGTTCTCTCCCTGATTGTATATATTGTGTATAGGTATGACTGTGTTTTTATGTTTTTAATTTACTTATCTTTAGATTATTTCATTTTTTATTGTACATAGTTTTTGATTATTATTTTACTTTTGTTAATTTTATATTTTCTGTATATATGGTGTGATTGTGTTCATATTTCACTATAATTATTGTCCACGAGACAAATTATTATATTTCTAAATAAATAAAAAGATATATATATATTGTAACATATTTTATTAGGGCCTTTATAAATTGTAATTGTTAACAGAACTCATGTTCATGTGTTGTTCTTTTATTATTTTTGAACTGTGTGAAAAGAAGTATTTATATGTAATATATTTATAAATTCTAATTTATTTCTAGATATTGTATTAATTTTAGTTGTGATTTAATTGTAAAAACAATAATAACATTTAACTAGTGATAAAGATTAAAAGGTACGATGTATTAGAGCCAACGGACGGGAGGTCCTTCTCTGTCAAAGGTTGAATTGTAAATGACTAGTGGTATGGTGTTTTGGAGGTTGCGCGTGGCGCCCTCTAGGCGTTGTTCTAATGAACTATTTTATTCATTTATGCAAGTCATTGTTTTTTCTAATAGAAACAGGTGATTGATTGAAGGTTACAAACGTAATTTATTTCTCTCTCCAAATTCTATTGAATTATCACAAGTTTAAGTCAATTAACTGCATGTTGATTTCCTTTATCTCTTCCATATTCGTGAGTTAAATAAGTGCAATCAATTGAAGTAAAGTTACTGGTGCAGCGGATTCTTCCGCTAAAAATGACGGAAACTTCGGCTTCAAACGATTCACCAAATGAAGTCAACCACGATAATGCACCAGAAGCTATGTCCTGGGAAGTTGTGTCTGGACGAAAACGACATGTAGCTTCAGACAGAGATCCACGTCACAAACAAATAAAGGTTAGTGATACTATTATTACTAACAATCGATTCGAAGTTTTATCAAATACTCCGGAAGATAGACAGCCAGCAAATAATAATCCCATTATTATTAGACCTCCACCTATTCATATAAACGATGTGAAAGACTACACGGCATTAGTAACCTATCTTCACAATGAAGGTGGCCCTAACAGTTTCAGGTTGAAAACGTCTATGAGAGGAGTCAGCGTGTATCCTGAAAACGCAGAAATATACCGTAGGTTAGTGACCAGTCTTAGAAGGGGAGGAGCTGATTTTCACACATATCAACTCCCGGAAGATAAAACGCCTCGAATAGTTATTAAAAATTTACACCACGCCACACCTCCAGCGATCATAAAACAGGAACTTACCAACTATGGTTACGAGGCAACCAACATCGTAAATGTTATATCAAGATTCAAAACACCGTTGCCAATGTTTTTCGTTGATGTGTCCAAAGCAACGTTCAATGATAAAATTTTCGACATTGAATTCCTGTATTACACACACGTGAAGATCGAAGAGCCAAGGAAAAAAAGGATCATTCCGCAGTGCGTACGTTGTCAGCATTATGGCCATACCAAGACGTACTGCAACCACCAGCCGAGGTGTGTAAGGTGTGGTATGGGTCACGAAAGCACTTCCTGTACAAAGACTCGAGAAACAGTCGCAAAATGTGCCAACTGCCAAGGACCACATCCTGCTAACTACAGAGGTTGCGAAACTCTGAAAGAGCTTAGGAAGACCCGCACAAGAAACCATACTCTGCAAAGGCCTCCTAGAGTTCAACCCCCACCACCAGAACTACACGAGTTCCCACCACTGCATCAGCCTCAATACCCTCATCCGATTCCCTCAGGACCAGAACAACAGCAGCAGAGACAGCAACGAAAACCAGCACCGGCAACAAACCAAGAACAAAGGCCTAAAGGTATGAGTAAGGGCATTGCCCAAACGCTCCCTACTATTGAAACCTCCTCAGGTGATATCATACATTTGATTAGGGGTCTCAATAACCTCATACAGCCCCTCTTCAGTCTTCTACAACAGCTATCTCAGGCTACTCTCGCTCTTACCCAAAAATATGCCCCGTAATCAGACGACTGTGGGCTCCATGTCTATTATACTATGGAACGCAAACGGACTGAATCAACATAGAACCGAACTAGACATATACTTACACGAGAAACGCATTGACATTGCACTAATAACAGAAACACATCTGACACCACATTCTAAATTTTACATCCGTGGTTACAAAATCTACAGAACTGACCACCCAGATGGAACTTCACATGGAGGCACTGCCATAATTATCAAAACAACTCTAAAACATAATCCTTTACAATTACCCATAACACCAGAGATTCAAGCTACAGCCATTACACTATCTACACAACAACAAAACATTACTCTTGCTGCGGTTTATTGCCCTCCGAGGTATGTTCTGACACCCATGATGTTTAGTAATTTCTTTAAACGTCTTGGTAGATGCTTTGTTGCAGGAGGCGACTACAACGCCAAAGATCAGTTCTGGGGATCCAGACTATCTACTCCAAGAGGAAGGAATCTTAGGTATGTTCTTTATGAGCTTTCATTAGACACAATATCACCTAATTCACCCACGTACTGGCCAACTTCTAGACGGAAAACACCAAACTTACTCGATTTTTTCATAACTAAAGGACTCCGAACAACACCTCACACTATAACAACGAGTTCAGATCTTTGCTCTGATCATTCCCTTTTGCATTTGGTATTGTTTGAAGAGCCTTGTGAAGCTACAAAAAAACTGTCCCTGATCAATGGCATAATGGATTGGGACAGGTACAAGAACCATTTGGACACTGCCCTCTCTGTTCCTCTATCCATTAAAAACGAAGAAGAACTTGAGGATGCCGTTGAATACTTCACACGAAATATCCAAGAAGCAGCATGGTCTTCATCAGTACCAAAACCTCAAAAATATGAGTTCCTACCAATGTACCCACAATACATAAGGGACTTGATCAGAGCGAAGAGGAGAGCTCGCAAAATATGGCAGACTGACAGACTCCCATCAGATAAACGAACTTACAACAGACTTAATAATGAACTCAAGCGACAGATTGGAAAATTCAAACGAACAACCTATGACAACTACATCAGAAATCTCTCAACCGACGATGGAAGCTTGTGGAGACATACTAAAAACCTTATTAAGCATCGTGAAGTGTCAGCACCCCTTCGAAGACAAGATGATTCCTGGGCCGTGACGGACGGAGAAAAATCAGAACTCTTTGCCGAATATCTTTCTTCTGTTTTTGTACCACACACAGACTTCACTAACACTGTGCACGATAACAATGTACTAAACACTTTAGACATGCCCTTACAACTAACTTCACCTCCTATTTCATTCACACCTTCACAGATTGCTGAACAAATCAAAAAGTTGCCTAAAAGAAAAGCTCCTGGGCATGACTTGATTAACGCTGAAGTGCTCCAACAAATGCCTAGAAAAGCTCTAGTGCTTTTGACAACTATTTATAATGCAATACTGAGGACAACTAAATTTCCCCTACAGTGGAAATACTCACATATAATAATGATTCACAAGCCTAAAAAGGACAAAAACTCACCTTCCTCATACCGACCAATCAGCTTACTACCTATCTGTTCCAAAATTTTTGAAAGCTTACTGAACAAAAGACTTGTTGATATACTAACAAACATCCAAATAATACCTGACCATCAATTTGGATTTAGGGCACATCACTCAACTATACACCAACTACATAGAGTAACGGACTACATATCTACAGCACTAGAGCAGAAAGTATATGCAACTGGCGTATTTCTGGATGTTGCTCAAGCGTTTGACAGAGTTTGGCACCAGGGTCTTCTCTTTAAACTCAAGACAATACTCCCACCTACATATTATCTAATTCTACAATCCTTCCTTTCCGATAGATTTTTCTCGGTCCGACACGGGTCAGAACTATCTTCCATCAGGTCTATCTCAGCAGGAGTACCTCAAGGTTCAGTACTCTCTCCACTACTCTATATCACATACACCCATGACATACCTTGTAGTCCCAACATTTTAACAGCGACATATGCAGACGACACAGCAATTTTAGCAAGACACAAAAATCCAACATACGCCTCACAGACCCTACAACAGTATTTAACTAGATTACATGACTGGTTCAAAATTTGGAAAATCCGACTAAATCAAGACAAATCACAGCACATCACATTTACGCTTCGACATGAAACATGCCCTCCAGTTTTCCTTGACGATACACAGATTCCACAGACAGACACCGTTCACTACCTTGGTCTGACATTTGACAGAAAAATGACGTGGGGCCCACATATAATCAAAAAACGTAAAACTTTAAATCAAAGATTAAGAATTCTGAGTTCACTTCTTTCAAAAAATTCAAAACTAAAACTTAGACAGAAATTGAACACATACAATTACTTACTAAAACCTATTTGGACTTACGCATCGCAGATATTTGGAACTGCTAAAAAGACTCACTTAAACAAACTTCAAATCTTTCAAGCAAAAACATTCAGAACAATTACAAAAGCACCTTGGTACGTTAGCAACATAACCTTACATACTGACCTCCATATGCCGACTGTTAACGAACACATACGTATTCATTACAAACGATTCCATGACAACTTACAAGGACATACTAATACACTTATAAATGACATGGCCACTACGAATATGCCCGGTAACGTCTGTAGGAGACTGAAGAGGAGCTGGATGAGGGACCTCCTCGCCTAATGTAGATATCACGCCGAGTGAGGTGCCGCTGGGCACTGATCCTCCTCATGCCTTTCATGACAATTCTATTAATCAATCGATCTCACATTCACTGGTTGTCATTAGCATTATGACAGGTGTGAATAAAACATTAAAGCTAAAAAAAAAAAAAAAAAAAAAATTGTTTTTCTAATAATGATTAATAATTTTAGTAGCGCAACCTTTTAATTTTTGAGCTGTCCCTCCCTGCTCAATATTAAAATTAAGGCCAATGGCCACAAGTGTATAAAGTGCCTTCAGCATCCTATCCTCGCAACGTCAGGGGATTGCCTCCTCGGTTGCAGAGCCCTGGATGTGTAGGGGTTGTCCCCCTATCATTCTTGGCGGTCTTATCCTATCCTCGCAACGTCAGGGGATTGCCTCCTCGATTGCTGAGCCCTGGATGTGTAGGGGTTGTCCCCCTATCATTCTTGGCGGTCTTACCTTATCCTATCCTCGCAATGTCAGGGGATTGCCTCCTCGGTTGCAGAGCCCTGGATGTGTAGGGGTTGTCCCCCTATCATTCTTGGCGGTCTTACCTTATATACCTTATCCTTCTCATCCTATCTAAGCTTGTACACCCCATTCTTACAAACTTAAATAGATACACGAATACCAGGTTAATTGACTAACAGAAGGATTAAAGGTTAGAAGGACAGATTTCAGATTTATATATATATATATTTTTTTTTTTTGAGTTTATTAAAGTTAGTATCATGTACTTAGATTTTATACAAGCAGTTTATTTATTGATTAAACTTCAAGCTCCTTAGAAAACATATATTATGTAACAGTGAAAAGAATATAAACAATGTTTTTTTCCTGTACCTACTATACGTAATTATGATAATTACTTCAAAGATTTTATTTTATCGTTCAGCTCACAAATTTTAGTGATGAATGGAGCTAAACGATGAATGAAATTTTACGTAAAATTACAACAAAAACAGAACATGACAGGCTTTAGGAAGTTAATTATCGAATAATTAATCTTTCTCTGTCCTAATTCTGAAGGTTGTCTCTCATCCAGCTCCTTTTTAGTCTCCTAATGATGTTTTTCTTACGCTGATTCAACACGATCAGTCGGAATGACATCCCAAACGATGATTGAAAGTGTAAGGTTAAGGTTTATTAGCTAATGAAATATACTGACGGATATCCAGAAATCGAAGCTTCAATGTTGAGTAGTTGAGGAAAGACAAACAGCCAATCTTGTTCTAGGTCAGTTTTTACATCTCTGTATGCATATACTTCCCTCATGAAGAGCTCGGAATTCACTTGTCTGATTATAAATAGTTTATGTAGGTGTTTTTGTGTTATTTTACTATACTTATCTTTAAGTTAATTTTTTTAAATTTTATATACTTTTAATTATTATTTAGTTATTATTTTACTACTTTTTTATTGTTTATTATTTTTTATTATTTACAAAAAAAAAAAAAAAAAAGGATCGAAACGTCGAATATACAGCAGAATTAATGAATATTTTGTAGTTTATTGAACAATTATTGAGTAACCTAATTTTTTTTTACCCTATTTATTGAAAAATATAACAATCTGTCTCAGGGACATTTATAATATTGTTCACATATCACATTCACACTCTATGTACAATAAATAAAATAAATTATACAGAAAAATAATATATATAAAATAACCTAAAAATAAATAAATAAAAAGAACACATACATACCTTTAAAATTCCCAATAAAATAATTATATTCAAACATAATACTCAAAGGTCGATTAAAGAAATTTTGTATATATATTTACAAAATTGAAACCAATACCAATTCTGAATTTAAATAATTATGTAAATTTTTTTTATTTTAGTTTTTACTTTGTTTTATTTTTGTGAGTAATAAAACATAATATCACAATATGAATAATGATTGTAGTCAGGAAACAGGACATTCACATAGTAAATAATAACAAAAAAGTAGTAAAATAATAACTAAATAATAATTAAAAAGTATATAAATAAAAAAATGTACATAATTATTTAAATTGGGAATTGGTATTGGTTTCAATTTTGTAAATATATATACAAAATTGACTGAGATCACGTTCAACCGCCAGGTTTTTCCCCTTAATTAATTATTTAATTAAGGGTACCCACGTTATAGAGGCTGGGTGTGCCCCAGGAGGGTCTCCCGACCCAGGGTCGCCCCACGGCCAATGAAACAGATAAATAAATTTTCTGCCATGAGCCAGGGTTCGAACCTGGACCCTTTGCATTGGAAGCTCAGTGCCCTACCACTGAGCTACCCTACTCCCATATATATATATATATATATATATATATATATATATATATATATATATATTATTATTAAATTCATTGATAATCAGAAAAAATCTTATTTTTTTAATGTTCTAATTTTCACTTCCTCCTTGTACTGTAACAAGATTTACAAATCTATAAATTTGTAAAAAATAAATAAAATGTATATTTTTAATATTTGGTGCACGAGTAAAGATGTTTTTTTACAGGTACTTCGTGAACATCCAAAACACTGCTGTGTTCTTTATGGAAATTATCATAATTAAAGGATATTAAAAAGATTAAAACATGATGTTGCTTATCTCAGGAGAGCAAAGTCGCTTAGATAAATTAGATAGATGAAGGGTATTCCCAAGTCTCCTGTTGGTATGTCAACTTCAAGCAAGTAGGAGTGGACTGACAACGCTGTTTTTTAACTGCAATAATTCCTAAGTTTCAAATTTTTTTTTTTGTCCTTTCCTTCCTCGGCATTTCAGATTAAATGGGTTTTTTCTCAGGCCAGAGGAGAGGGTGAGGAATTAATGCCAGGAATATAAATTTTTAACCGGCATCTGAATGCGAACTCGTGATTATTTTATTGTAGTTCACCCCCCCACTAGGTGTCAATATTTTTTACTACATTAAAACTACATACAATTATTCGCAATCCAATCAGTGCCTCGTCGTATCTGACTATTTCCTTCCTAAGTCTTTGAATTTAACACTCTCTTACATATTTAGAATAAAAAATCTTTGGAAGGATTTACATTTTGGAATAAAAGTTTCCACGTGTAAGTGAAGGACAGCTTTGAAAGTTCCTCTTCGAACTTTTTTTGGGCCGAAAATTAGGTAAATAAAGCTCAAATAATAATCAGACAACATACAGTTCGAAGTAATATGAGAAACGGTAGATACCATAAAAATGAAGCTCACAATTAACTGTTCAGAAATCTAATTAAAAATCCTTTTTTAAAAAACGACAGACTAGTTTTCTTTTTCTAAAGTTATTCTGAAAATTTACTGGATCTATTTACACGTATTTTTTTACTTTTGCAAAATGATCTGTACTGTTCTGTGAAGGGTTAGAGCTTTTAAAATCTCCGTTAATACCAGTGAAGAATAATTTATTGATATGAAATCGATACGAAAAATATAATCAATCAAATTGAAAACAGGATAATATAAAAGGTTTAGTTAGTATCGCCATAGTACTACAAGTTAAAAAGCTACTAATTTTGGAGACACTACACGAACTGGAAGTTATTCAAAAGACTTATAAATTATATTGATCACCGACAGTAATATACAAATTATTAGCTCTAATTCTCGAAATTCCCGTTTTGTAGCGCAGATGAAGCGGTGAATGGGGATGTTAATTTTTTTTTGTATACATTGCTTATCTATGGCCACTAGTGTTGCCCAAATGCGAGACCGAGACGAGTCTTGGTCTTGCAAACTCAGTCCTGGTCCTGGTCTTGGTCTTGCGCAGGAGTCTCGCAACAGTCTTGCAGTTACTTATTAGCTTATTACTATAGAGATATTACTTAGATAGGAGAAACATAACTAACCCCGAAAGAAATTTAGAGGAGTTAAATGCAAAAGTATATTGGTTATACCAATTATTAACTATAGTATCTAAAATTAGTAACTCGGGTATTAGTAACTATTTTACCTTAATTTTTATTTTAAAAATCTAAATTTAATGTTTTAGATAGGAGAAACATAACTAACCCCGAATGAAATTTAGAGGAGTTAAATGCAAAAGTATATTGGTTATACCAATTATTAACTATAGTATCTAAAATTAGTAATTCGGGTATTAGTAAGTATTTGACTTTAATTTTTATTTTTAAAATCGATTTTTTTTCCAGTAATTCCGATTTCCCGATTTTGGGCAACAATAATAGCCACCTTAACCAGACTTCCCCACCTCTGGTTATCTTGGGTTACTGCTTTGCAGTTTTCTGCATCCAGCTCTGTACTGCAGCTTTTTTGTCGATTCTGTGAAATCGGTTTTTGGTTTCCCAGGTGGTCTCTTGCTCACTATTAATACATTCATTGTTGTGTTGAGGCTTCCTGATGGATTACTCCGGACTGTATGCATTTTCTGCAAGCAGTTCTTTATTGGTCCTTTTCCTTCACGGGCTTGTACTATGATACCAGATTTCTTGAGATCTTTCGGAATTTCATTACCTTTGAAACAGAGAAGAAAGCTCGTTTGTATAAGCTGGTATGTTTCTAACCGTTTCATTGAAGTAATTGTTAACCGGCGGCATTCGATTGAATTTGTTTACTCCCGGGAACGATTTTTTTTCTATACAGATCCCGTTGTAGGGTAAGCTAAAAGTATTCTACGAGGAATACTTTGGAGGAACAAACAAATTTTGAAATGTGTAATGGCGTTTTATATTATGTCAAAATTATTTATATTCTCTTAACTGAAATTCAAATCTTCATATCTCAGCATTACATTAAATCTGTTAATAAAAATGTAACATAAAAACGATATGACAACAGTAACGCAAAATAATAATAATAATAATAATAATAATAATAAAATAGGCTGTCAAGTAACGTCAGCATCCTCACCATTTTCATTGGCTAAAAATATCTATATTACAAGGTCTAAAATTTTTCTATAGGCGTGCCAAATAATACGTTTTCTGATCTGAAAGCGGAAGTATTTTTATGGAAATAGTGTATAGAATTTGGTAAAATTGATACATTCTTCATTATCTGTTTACCAATCCCACTCCAAATTTCAGACAAAACGAATGTGCAGCTTGAGTCATAGAGCACAGCATTGAATAAAATTGATACTACATTATTTTATTTTTTTATACCTACATTTTTTCCAACATTGAGCCAAATTCAACGATCCGTTTCTGAAATACTGGGATATCCAAGAAAATACATATACGTGTGCGCAAGCGCAAATGCTGGATGGATTTTAATAAAATTGACATGGGACCATCTATACGCCAATCCTCACAACTTCTAAAAATTTCAAGAAAATCGGATAAATGGTAGTAGGTGATATGGCCGTTACATCGATTTGACTCCAGACAGACAGACAAACACCGAACCAAATTTGATCCTTGAGGTCTGAAACGTAAAAAGCGAGTGAAAATTTTCGATTCTGAGCACAAAATTTTGTTTAACCTCTACGAATACGTAGCTTCACTACCTTTGCTAGTGAGAAAGCAAAAATACAATTTGCTAAGACAATATTTTATTATTGTT